ATACCTCACCAAGATGATATTATAGTATGTAAAATAAGCATATGAAAAGAAGCTCCATATTATATATCTACAATTAATCTCTCTAATTGAGCAGAGTAGAGCAATCAAACATCACATGGTGGGCAGCAGAAGCACACAAGACAGTGACAAAATCAACACCMATATCAGGAATCTAAGCTGCACTCTTGTGCTTTACAAAAAGCGTGAGGATCATGAGCGCCATGGAGCCCACTGTGATGCTATGGGTGATCAGTCAGGAGCTGGATGCAAACAACTGCAAATGAAGTTGAGCAAGAGGTACAAGTTGCTGTGCACGTAAAATCCAACAGATAGAGCTTTGTGCAGTGGTGGATGAATGTGTGCAAACTCTGTGGAAGGCATCTTCTCTACAGGGTTCAAATTAATATGATATCCSGCCTCTTCAATGTCTTCAAAAGCATTATCTCCAATAACTTCTAAGCTTAAGGGGCTGCTAGTAGCCATTAGAGGCTAACAGAATAGACTTCTGGCCATACCTGTAGGCTTGGTTCTTTGGCCCCCAACTGGGTGAAATTTCAGATACTGGACTATTCTCTGAGGCACTTTCCCCTCCTTTACTCTTCTTTGTCTTTGTCTTTTTTTTTTTTTTTTTTAAATGAGGGAGAGAAGATTGTTCCATAAAAATAAAAAAAAAAGAAAGAAAATTTAAAACATGCTGTGTTTAAATACTTCAAGGAAAGAAATTTAAAAACAYCCCCGCTTTATTGTTACAGTTCTCATAAGATCCTTCCTTATATCTTTTTGAAGAGGAGGCCTTGACTCTTTCAAAAATTCTCTTGTGACCCAATTGAAAAACAAAACTGAAAATAAAAAAAAAAACACTTCCTTCAAAGGAAATCATCCTTAAGAATGGAACAAATGCCAATGGATCATAATTGGGGACTATATCTGGGAGCTGAGGTGTTAGTTTTTCTTCCTGGGTAAAAAAGGCCCCTGAGGGTCACATATGTATGACAAAATTGCTGTGAAACAGCCTATTGTAGCTTGGATCTGGAGTGTCCCTCAAAGTCTCATGTGTTAAAAGTTTGGTTGCCAGCCTTGGCCCAATTGGGAGGTGTTAGGACCTTCAGAAGGTGTGGGGCCTAGTGGAAGGAAGTTAGGTAACTGGGGTTGTGCCCTCCAAAGAGTATATTCAAACCTTAGTCCCTTCACTCTTCTCTGTTTGTTTCCTGAACGTCATGAGGTAAGCGATTTATTCTACCATGTGCTCACCATCATGATGTTCTGCCTCACCAGGGGTCCAAAAACCAATGTACAAGTGGTCATGTACTGAACCCTCTTAAACTAAGCCAAAATAGAACTTTCCTCCTATAAGTTATTTGCTCAAGTAATTTGTCACAGCATGGGAGCTAACATATAACCACTACAATATTATAAGACTAAAACAACTCAACAAAAGTGAAACCAAGCAAACAAAACCTATCATCAATGAAACGACATAAGCCTTAAGGATGGAAACTTCATTTTCTAAAAAAACAGGTTGATCTCTACAGTATCCCTTTTATCATTTRTTACCCTGCTTGAGGATCTGTGATTTCCTCTTGATTGTTTATCCATATGTAGATGATGACAACTTATCATTGAATTTTATGGCCATCCATGGAGTGTTTCCATTTTATTCTCTCAAATAATATTTATAATTGTGATTAACGTTTGTGTAACTCATTAACATTTCAGTCTCTAAATGCATTAGGTCACTTTAATTGCACTTAGACTGTTTTTTCTTTCTCACCATTTCCTACAATCATGGTATTATACTTTAGTATCCTTGTTGATGACACTCCTAATACTCATTTCCAAAGACTTGCCTCAATATCAAGGATTGTCACCTTTATTGATTTCCTCCTTTGGTCTTACTCTGGGTTTCATTTTTATTCAATATCTATAATCTTAAATGCAAATATAGCAATAATGGTTTATCTATTCCATCCATCCTCCTCTTTCATGCTTTATTTCCACTGAATTTGCTCTTAAATTTCATTTATATTCTCAGTATTTTCACTGTCCTTTCATCTTAGTCAACTTATTTCTAAAAGCATCATCTTCTATATTCATTAGCATATTAAACATTCTCCATTTCTTTTATTTTTGTAAAATAAACTTCCTTTACCCCACACACATTCTGGGCACCACCCTACTGCTTTCCTGATGAGCTATGAAGATGTTGTCTACACTCTTCCTACCCTCCTCTTCCTCATTACTCATTCTCTTCTGAATTTCTCTATTCCTTCTCCTTTGACAATATTCTTGCTAATGTTTTACCAGTGACCTCTGAATTGCCAATCAAAAGGCAATTTGGTAGTCCTCATGTTAATTTGCTCATTCTGCAGTATGCAATCCAGTTGACTATTTTTTTCTTGAAATTTTCCTTAGATAACTTTCTCTGGGTTCTCACCATAGCCCGTAATTATTTTTGTACTGATTTTTATGAGCTCCTCTTGCCTACAGTTATTCAATGTTTGTGAGCTCTGATTTCTCACTTTTTGGTATTCTTCTTATTTGACATTCTCCCTCAATGAATCAAACCATTAGTAATGTTGAAATGATATCTAGCTGGGCCATAAAATGCTCAAGAAACCCATCATTACTCTRTGCCTAGATGAAGTCCCTTTAATCTGTAATTTGGCTGTGTAATCAAAAATTTCCATTCATGTCAGAAGTTTAGAATTTCAGTTAAAGCCTCAATTTTGAGTTTATAGTTGTTAAGAACTTAATATTCTAAAAAAGATGTATTCATAGTATCTCCATAGGACTTGATGGAAGGTGGTATAAACAATGGGACTAGAGATGAAGGGTATGTATGAAGTTGTTTTAGAGGCAGAACCTTCAGATTTAATGGACAATTCATTGGTAAGAATGGAAAGCAGAAATACTAAAGAGTTGGAGTCATAAAAAGAGCATACACTCACTGATACAGTGGATTAATTGGCATATCTATTAAATCTCAAAATTATATAATTTGTAAAATCTCAGACGAGATAATGGCTTCCAATTTATATGGTTACTGTAAGATAAATACTTAAATATCAAAAATTTGATAGTATTCACTTACAATAGTCCAAAAGAGAAATAACATTATGGTTTTGATTATTAGATGGCAGGATATGATTTATAGCTTTATTGAATTTTGAAATTCTTATTTATTGAGAATGTTTAAAATATTTATGAATTATATTCAGTGTTGAAGGATTCCACAATATTTTTTCAAGCAGCTGACATTCCACTTGGAGACTGTGAGTGTGTTGAATTGATTAAGGTCATGGATTCTGGAGCATTTCTGTTTGGGTATAAATCTCACCTTTCTATTACATATATGAATTTGGAAAAATGATTAATATTATAGTGCCTTAGTTTATTCATTTGTAAAGTGAAAATAACAGTATTTCTCTTTTGCTGTGAAAATTATATGAGGTGGTACAAAGTCCTAGGAATATTGCCTGATACAACCAATTGTACTCAGTTTGTGTTATTGTTATTATTATTTTGTATTTCAGAATCATGATAGAATTACACTGGAAAAGTCTTGAATGGTTCTAACTTTCAGAATTAGAATATTAACTTGGAATAGGCACTTAATAAATAGGCAGTAAATTGTTGGAGGCAATTCTAAATTTGATTTTATAAATTAATCTCCAAAATTACTAACATCATTATTGACCCAACATATAAGTGATATACTTTGCTACAGTTACAGTTCACGTTTATTARTTTCTAGAATGGTGATGCATTTCTGAATGATATGTTGAACACTTTTAACTTTTATGGACTACTTCCCTTCCCCTCCCACAAGAAAGACTTCCTGTTTCCATTTAACTGAAATGCATTTACAACATCCCTGCAGGGAGTGTACTTCTTTCATTACATGATAAATAATTGTGCAAATGTTTCTGTGCCATTTTAATGAATATTATCTGCATTTAACCATATATTCTACTAAAGATATTTTTATTTTTCCTATCAACTCTTCTTCATTAGACAGCAATATCCCTCAAATTAAGAATCATTTCCACTTTATTTTGTTCTTCCGGTTGCTCATGGTATAGCATGGTATAGATCTGTATACTTTAGGGTGTGTTTTGCAAGAAAAAAAAAAATCTTAAGACACTTTGGGGACTGACTTACTGAAATAACTTTTCCAGGAGGAATCCTAAAAGAACTAGGTCAAAAACCCATAGAATTATATAATGTTTTTTTTTTTTTTTGGTTGAAGGGACCTTAGAGATGACTTTTTCCATATCCTTCATTTTACACATTAGGAAACTGAGTCCCAGCATACCAGGGGCAGATACAGAATCACCATCCATCCTTGCAACTGATAAGCCCCAGTGCTCATTCAACAGCATCCACCCACTTTCAAGATTGAGTCGCTTTATTTTCCAGTTGATATCTGCATATTATGGGGTGTGTGTATGTGTGTGTGTGTGTGTGTGTGTGTGTGTGTGTGTGTGTGTTTTAGGACTTCACAGCCTTGTGAGATAACAGAAACAAACTTTACGAGAAAGAAGAGATGATAAAGGATAAAGTAAAGGGAGATTTTTCTCTTATACTTATCTTTATTAACATTATTATTAAGAAGAATTGGTGGTACTGAAGACAAGAGAAAAATTTAGGGAATATAAAAGCATCCTATCAAACCATCTTTTCTTTCCKAACAATCTTTTCTGAGACCCCACTTTAGGGATCATTATTTTGGATAAGGGGTCATTCATGGGGTTCTGAGATGTGTTGTGGAATGTGTACTTAATGTGTAGAAGAGGGAGACATTTGCATGAGGCTAATCTGAAAGTGAAAGGGGGCAGGGTAGAGACCTCTAGGGAGGGGTGCTCTGAAGCCTGGGAAATAGGTTTCAACCAGGGCAGGCAGGTGGAAAGAGGGAGGGGTCTGCATGCGCACAGAGTCTCTAGGCAGCGTGTGAGCTGTCTCCGCTGGGAGGGGCGAGGCTGTCACTCGCTGGGGAAGCCGGAGAGGCGCTTGGAAAACTTGGCCCTCCGGAGAATCTGGTCACTCTCACTCCTCTGGGGACCTCAGAAGAAGGAGGACCTTTGGCCATGGGTGAGTGTGCGAGCTGGTGCGGATAAGTAGCCTAAAGGCTGGGCGTGGGGACGAGTGCTAGAGAAAGTGAATGTTTGCAGTCCTCAGATTGCACAGARCACCCGAGCCCCCCCAACCCGCACCCACAGCGGAGAGCCTGCCTCCGGACTTTTCCCGCAGGCGAGGAAGGGATAAGGTGGCGGCTAGAGGCTGGGGCAGGTGCTGGGCCATTTAAAATGGACGAGGGCAATCATCCTGCAGCCCGGGGGGCGTTCGGTGTACGGTGCTCAGTGCTCTGGACSGTGTCTGAGGAATAAAGACAGGATTAGAAGTAGTGGATGGATTCCAGGAAGATCGTCGTTCTTACTTGTTGTGGGGTTTGGGGAGCAAGTGGAGACGGGCACAAGAGATGGAAACTTCCTAAAACTTCCAGCTCGCACAGGTTGAGTAGAGGGAGGCGCTGGGGCAAGGGGAGCTGAGATTGGGGACAAGTTGCAGCCCTCGCGTCAAGTGAGTGCTCATTTGCATAAAACGCTTGGAGTCCTAAGGCTGATTCACCCWGGGCTAGACCTGGATAAATAAGCATTATGGTTAAAGGACGTCCAGACTGGCTCAGGTCACTGGAAGGTACAGCTCCAAGCCRTTTAGATTCACTGGCGTTTCTAGGAGTCCTCCTCCTGGGAGTTCAGCAGCGCAGCTTGGAAAAGTCCCAGGAATGTTGGAGGGGTGGGCTGGAGGGGCGGAGAACTGGGTGTCGGTGGATCCAAACCCTGCAGGAGGAGGTGGTGGAAAAAGTTCAGGGAAGAGCGAGAGAGAGGCCRGAGGGAAGAAATCACCCACTCCCTKAAGACTTGGTGTGGTTTGTTCAGCGTATCTGTACCCGGGCAATACTGCATTTCCACGGTTACTTATTAGCTATCCACCAGTGATTGGGGTTTACTATTCAAACGCCAGAATACTCACTTCTTCCGGTCCAAGTCCTTTACCCACCCCTCCCCCGCAACCCCCTTGTCCTTTGTTGTGAGGGATTTCTTCAAGAGTAAAGGAGGCCTTTGGGACTGATGTGCTCCTGTTGAAATTCCTAAATTCCCACAGGCTCGAGGGTTAGGGGATGCTTTGACTACTAATCGGTGGAGTTTATAGACACTGGCCAACTTGGCAGAAAGGAAAAAAGAGAAGGCTGAGGACATTTTTGCCTATGAATGTTAGCTCTGATCAAGACATTCATAGTCTCTTCTTGCTTGACCCTGGAAGAGCCTTAGAAAGAACCATTTTTAGGATCTTTGAATAAAACACTGTTGGGAATGATCTACAAAATAGATTTTTTTTAAAGATGTTTTCCAAAAAGGAAACAATATTTTCAGGGTATAAGAGAGAAACATTCTCTCAAATGGGACAGAACTGTACTTTAGGCTTTTTTTTTTTTTAATTCAGCATATAAACTCTTGTTAGAATAACATGGGGAGGGGGATTCTTACAAATGGAAAGCCAAAATAATTAACTCAATGTAATCTATTAATTGATTACTAARTGCATTAAGATGCTGTTTGGATCCAACATAATAAAGTATCAACAAAGAATGACATAATTTACCCTTATAAACTTGAGCTTGARGGTTTAAACTGCTCACAATTTTATAGTTAATGATTTCTTTAAGTTGCTTTTCCAGACTATAATAAGAGCAATTAGTCCTGGATTTTGCTTCAATCTCTACGGATAAATTGTCCATGCCAAATTACWGATAAGTATCCTGGGAAGGGGGCGGAGTTAACAACTGAGTTGTTACAATAATCTGGAGCTTGGCCTGTAACTCTCAGAAACTATCTATAATCTCACAGATACCCCAAATTTGTTGATTCTTTCTTCTGTCAGGAATGGATTATGTTTTTCCTCTTGTCCTTGAGGTGACCCAAACTCATGTAGATGTCAGGTACCTAGTGGGAGAAAGGGAGTGCAGAGGATGTGTGAGAAATCAGAGGTCAGGAAAGTAAAGGAAAGAACAGGTAACTACGAATAGTGGGAGCCTGAAGTCAGGGCTCAGGCAGAGACTCAGAAAAGCAGTGCAAAATAAATTAGGAAGAGCCAATTAGCAGATGAGAGGTGAATGAGAGAAAGAAGGAGGGAAACACCTCCAGAAACAAGAGAACATTTGGTCATTAAATTCATATTACTCTTCTTTAAATTTGCTGTGTAAAGCAGAATTTCATTACTTCATACCTCTTTTATTTAGTGGTAGTAGGGTAGGGATAGTAGAGGTTCAAAATTGGAGTCAGGATTGCTTGAAAAAGGGGGAATAACTGAAGGAGAATGCTGGATCCATCTTTTTCCTGTTATGCTGACTGAAATTTATCATTTAGAGAAAGAAAGATGGTGCTATGGGGTGAATATGTTTCTTGTTTGTGTAAGAAGAAGAAATTCCTCCTGTAGCATTGTGGAAGAGTGAGAGTAATTGGTTAATCAAACTTTCTGAATAATTTATAGTCATATTTATAATGCACATGGCCAATTCTCAACAGAACTTATTTGCAAAGTAGGCATATTGAGAGGCATCTCTTTTGGCATCTCTTACTTTTTCTTTTTGTTCTCTTCTCTTTCCTCAGTGATGCCCTTGGCTTGTGTGGGTATGCAGGAAGGTTTTCCTTTGCTCCAAAATTCGGCTTTCCTGAAAGGATACAGCAAAGTATTTCATATTAAAAAGGCAGAGCTCACCATTTGCAAAGAGTGTTTACAGGTCAGCTATAAGACTGACTTTAACCATCAAGCTGCTTAATTGTGGAATTTTAGGCTCCAGTAGAAAGATAGAGTCAAGGAATATATTTAATTTAGTTCCTAACCATGATACTCACTGCCCTACTTGACCACATTTATGTCATAAATATTTACTCTGACACCATTAATCTTTGTTTTGTTTATCAAATGATATTGAATATTATTTAGTTTAACAGGTATTATTATAGAAGTTTCATGAAGGGAGTAATATTGAATTTGATTTGGAGATGAGAAGGATTTGGGAAGGGAAGAGGTGAAATCTTTGGTAGATTGGAAACACATAATAAAGATTTAAATTTAATAAAGGAAAAAGAATAAGAAAGTAAAAATATGATTTGAGGATTACCAACCTTTAGTGAGAGCTAAAGCCACTTATTGAATTATCTGTTTGAAGGTGAGAGCATAGGAAATACTAGTTGAGAAAGGATAAACCCTTTCTCAACTAGTTTGGAGGAAGAAGAAGAATACAAGCTACTTAATATGTTCTAATTGCCCCCAAATTAGAACAATGAAATGTGACATCTTATATGATTGACATTAGATTCAAGAGTCCATATATTTTGATAAGAAAAAAACAAGATGGAAATGGTTGTTCAACTTTAGTAAAAGTGGATTGGTTGTGGATCTATAAAATTGTTTACGAATTTAGGTAAAAATTAATGAGATACAATATTATCCTGAATTTATGCTTTTATTTCAGGAAAAATATGACACTTTACAAGCAGTCATGAATAAAGTACAAAGTGCTTAGGTTTGAAATAGGAGAGGCAGAGGACAATCCCATGTGTTTCGGGATGGACCCTCAAACCTCTGAAATCTTGTTTTCTCTCTCTTTTTTTTTATTTTTGTAGATCAGATCTTAATTCAATAATAATTAGAGGAAAAACATGGACAAAAGATAAGGTTGAAGTATTTTTATTAAGAAAATTGAACATATTTTTTATGACTCTAGACTACTAGGTAATACTTAAAGGATCATTTGATCTCTAGTATGTTACTTTTCTGAGATGATTATAATGATCTGATTATATTCTGAATGAGAGAAAGATAAACTAATGTAGGCATCTATTGCTGCATAATAACATCCCCCAAACAAGTGGATTATAATGATTCATTATTCTCTCTCATGGTTCTTGTGGGCTGACTCTCTGATGAACAATTTTCATTTGAAGTCTCATGCTGTTACCATCTGATGTTGGCTGGGGATTCAGCCATCTGAAGACTTGATTGAACTGGTCTTTTAAGATAGCTCACACAAACCAGGGGCAGTGGCACAGGCCTATAATCCCAGCAACTCAGGAGATTGAGACAGGAGGATTGCCAAGTTTAAGGTCAGCATCAGCAATTTAGCAAGGCCCTAAGCAACTTAGTAAGACCCTGTCTCAAAATAAAAGAAGAGGGGTGGGAGGACTGGGGGATGTGATTCAGTGGTAAAATCCCTCTGGATTCAATCCCCAGGACCAAAAAAAAGATTGCTTGCACATACAGCTAGTAGTTGATGCTGCTCTGCTTGTGTTGGGAGTTTATCTGGGCCTACTCTTTTGTTTTTTTTTTTTTTTCTTCGTGAAATGATGGCAGGGTTCCAAGAACAAGCACTTCAAGAATGAGTATCCCACGAAACCTAAACAGAAGCTACAAGAATTCTTAGGACTTAGCATCAGGGAAACATCAGAACATGACTTTTGCTGCATGCCATTAGCCACAAAAGTCATCAAAAAGCAGTAAGATTCAAGGGTAGGGAGATTAGGCCTGTCCTCTTGATATCAAGAGTAGCATGCTTACATGAGGAAAGAAGCAATTAACTAATTAATCAACTAATTGATCTCATTCCTAAAAGTTATGTCCCATAAGTGTGCTTCACATTACAACTAAAATCTCTGTAATTTCTCTGAAATTTTGCATATGCATATGATCAATGACTGAACTTTTAATTACAAATATGAGGAAATATGTCACACTAAAATCTCACAGCAAAACATTTCAGTGTGGAAATTCATGCCTGGGTGGAAGGAAATGTGTTGGTAGAATACTGGGATAAAATCTGCTCAATATAGTTTCAAATAAAAGCAGTTAATCTTTCTATTTTCATTTAAATCTGAAGTTTTAAGACTATTATAAATTATTGTTCATTTTATTTATAATTGAGTTTGTGTCATAAATTGGAATATAGATGAATTATGAAAAATCTATATTAACTATTTTTTGTTACAATAAATAAATGCTTTATAATGATCGGCTTAGGAGCTGGCTTT